CCCCGCCAATTTACATGAGTGAGGTTATGTAACCCCCGAGCTTCATTCAGTCCTGCTGACAGGACCTGGGTGGAAGCCACCTTGTCTGCCTCTGCATTGCCTTGGGATAAAAGCCCAGGCAATCCTTGGTGCCCCCTAAGATGCTGTAAGAAGATAGGGGCTTCTCTCTCTCTCTGTGGAGTGTACGAGTCTGAATACTGTCAGAAAACAAAGGCCGTGAGTTCCTTGAATTGAGCTGCTTTTTGGTTTTTTCACATCTGCCCCTGGGTATACTATCACTGCAGCTCCAAATCTGCCCCCGTCATTGAAAACATTATAGGCTTTTACTAACAGCTCCTTGACAAAGAGCCGGGGAGCATCCCAACAGAGGGTGCAAAAAGAGGTCATACCATTTAATATATATAGGGCTAGGAAGGACTGCTTTGGTGAGGTCCAGCCAATCCTTTGTAGTACACTGCTGATGAGCCAAGCCTTGGAGGAGAGTATCTACCCAGGGTGATCCCAGGCCATCCTCAGCCACCACCTTTTTAAATTCCTTTAAATTCTTCTCCTCCCAGGGATACCAGGGGTCAGGGCGCGTGCCTCCTGGGTTTACATTAATAGGATACGCTTCCACCTGTGGCCTCACAGAAGCCTCCTGAGCGGGGCCAGAATCCTGGAAATGGGGACAGTTGTCATGGGTTTCAGGAAGCCCTGAAGCTGGGCCAAGGCACGCCCGAGGTGGTGCTTATTACTTTGGCTGCTTTTGGTTCCACTTCTGTTGTATTTCTGCATTCTTCCTCAAACCCTTCCCATGATTCCCATGCCGGGGTTTCTGAAGGCTCATCAGGAGGTGGCACTGAGGGCTTAGGGCTCTCGGGCTGAAAGCATGCCTTTAAGGCCAAAATAATAGGGTAGAACTCCAGTGGCAGATCAACCCCCAATTGATCCTCCCTTTGTTGAGCTAGACTTTCCACATGTTCCCATGTATCCCCAGTAAAAACATTAGCCCCAAGTAGCCAGGGAGCCAAATGAATCGTCTCTGCCCAAACCTTTTGAGCTATGGGATCTGACAAATCTAATCACCTCCTTTTAAGCATATCTCTCAGCCCTTTGAGCGCTGGATTTTCAAACTTAAAAATTGCGTTACCCATATTTAGGGTCTTGCTTACCCCGAACCTCCTTGATTGACCCCAATCTGTTTTTTCTTCTTTCTTACTTTTTTCTTTTCTTCTTTTCACCTTTCTTCGAGCACCACGTTGAGCGCCAGTTGCCGGGGGTTCAAACCAGCGATCCCTGGGGAGGTGATGATTGGGGATGATTAAGCATGCCGTTCGCCAGCCCATGCTGCCCCCATTACCCGGGGACACTCAGATGCAACGGGGAGCCTAGTCAAGCAGGGACTCATTTATTGCAGGTGTTACAGAGCTTATAAAGGCACCTGGAACTCCCCCCCCCCCAGGGTGTATCTTAAGGATGGTCACGTGCTGATCATGCACTCCTCAGCAGTGTGGAAGCATTCTTTAGACTTTCAAAGCAAGCCAGGCTGCACCCCCAGTAACTTCCTTTCGGACCTATGCAAGGTGGGGCCTTTAGGTCCCCACAGAGTATTTCATGCATAAGTAATGTATTTACATCATTTCTACCCTTCCATTTCCCCTCCAGCTCTTCCTGTGTTCCCCCACTCCCTTTGAACTTTGTGACCTCTCATTATTGTTGTTATATATACATATATACCCGTATGTATGTCTCGATTACCTGTAGCTCCTTATCTGCAGGTGCAACCTTGGGACATTTTCCCCATCCACATTGGGATATTAACTAGTGGCTTCATTATACAAGTCTTGTTTAGGCAATCATTGATATTTCATGGGTATAGCTTCCCATGTCATGCTAGATAGTGAAAGTACCAAGCAACAGGCTTCCTGGACCTCTGGCTCTTGCAATCATTCTGCCCTTTCTTCTGTTATGTTCCCTGAGCCTTAGGTATAGGGATTGCATTATAGATGTGTGAGTTGAGGCTGGGATCCCCATGGTCAGTTATCCTGTGCATTTTGACCAGTTGTGGGACTTTGTAATTGTTCAGAAACAAGCTTCTTTGATGAGTGATGAGAGCTACATTGATAAGACTACTCTGGAGCAACAGCTGCAGAGACCCTGGGTGTGAGGGGAAGGTGGCAGGAGATCTAGCAATTCTGTAGGAAGAATTTCCTTGAATTCGTCTTAGCTGCTTTGTTCATTCTCATGGGCATAGAAATCTATTTGGCTGTCATTGCTTAGTCTTCTGCTGGCCTGGGACTGGTCAACATGATTGTACTTTCCTTCTGTGGTCCTCATGGGACAAGTTGCATTTTCCTCAAGGCTCTGGCAATTTCATTTTGCCTGCCAACTTAGTAGTGTAAATCTGCTCTGCTTGTTGAGGACTGGGGCCATTTGCTGCCAAGTTGTTGAGATTGTTTTTAATTCCTCTTTGGTCCCAGAGTAAGTGGATCATTCTGTGCCCTGCTGTTGGCATAGGATATGGCCAAGATCAGGCTTCCCCCCACCTCCACCTCATGTATTCCACCATACATTTTAAATCCTATCCAGTCAAGCATTTGTACCCAGATCTCTGTTGGTACAAATTCATCCACTGGAGTCTAGTTAGCCTATCTAGAGATCGTAAGTAAGGTCTGTTCTCCCTCACCCAGTAGTAATCATTCTCCAACAGTTCCCGGACCAGGACCTTCTCACTACCCATTTTCCTCACTCTGGGCTCTTGTCTGATTGTGTTGGCATGGGTCTTGTGCTCAATACCACCACTGCTGCAAGTTCACATGTGCAAGCTTCCAGTGTCCTGAAAGCCTCTGTTTCCCTATGTTCATGGACCAACCCTGGCTCTTACAGTCTTTCTGACCTCTCTTCTGCAATGGTCTCTGAGCCATGGGTAGAGGAGGTTTAATATAGGAGTCCTATCCAGGGACACACACTCTGCAGTCTCTTATTCTCTAAAACTTAACCAATTGTGGCCGCCACCTATGTGTATCACACTGTGTTGTAGAAGAAAGCTTTGCTGGTGAGAGTTGAGGGCTGCACTAATTTTCTCCCTGTTCTGCCATGTTCTATGAGCCTTAGGTGTAGAGGTTCTACTGTTGATATGTCTCTTAGGACTGGACATCTCTCAAACATATATTCTCTGTGTGTGACCAGCTGTGGAACTCTGCAGTAGCCTCCATCTGTTGCAAAAAGAAGCTTCTTTGATGAGTGGTGTTGGTATACTTGTCTGTAAATATAAAGATCCATATTTAGTATATGGTAAGAAATTTCATTTATCTAAAGATATGACAGAGATAGGGTTTTCTCTAGAATCTATGACTTCTCCAGCCATATGTATTTGGCTGTGTTTACAGTGCCACCCATGAGTTCCATTGAGAGGGCTTTAAGTCCAATTAGATAACTGTTAATTACCCCTCAGATAACAGTGTTACTACTGCATCTATAGAGGTATTTTGCTGTGCTAGTAGTTAAAGTTATTAGGCTTTAGGACTAGGCTGGACCAGTGATTGATTTTCTCCCTTAGCAGATTGCATAGTATCCTTTAGAACTATGAGAGCTAAACATCAAGTAGAAGGCTTCCAGATCAGTTCCTGCTCCTTTGCTCCAAGTCCTGTGTCCAAAGTATGTTCTGTCTTCAGCAGTAGGGGCTTATCTTCCAGTTCTGGGAGACAACCAAGAGCTCTGGCAATTGCCTGTATTATTTTGGGAGTCTCTTGGACTGTTCTCACCAACCACTCAAAAGGAAGTCTCTCCTGTCTGGCACTGTGTTCCTTGCCATACAGCCCTCAGGTATACATATGCACTAATGTTCAGACACTGAACCCCCTGAGAAATGCTCAAGTTATCTTTTTAAAATGTTTAAATTTTAATTTGTCTGAAGTAGTTTGTTAGAACTCTGACTGGAGGATTTTATAATATAGCAATGATGAAATAATGAAAAACTGTAAAAATTCCTTTATAATTAACTCATCTGTTACACATGTTAACTAATGGTTATTTTATCAACTTTATCAAGACTAAGAGAATATTGACTATTTCAAAGAAAATTGTTGCTTACATTTAATAAAAATGCCTTTTAGAAAGTCATAAAAAGTGATTTTCTTTAAAAAATGGAAGTGTACCAGTGCTTTTCCTCATTTTATAATTTATTTCATTAAACATAAATTATATTTGTGTGAGCAAAAGGAATAACAACAACAATAATAATAAAAGTAAAAGCAAAAGGGCCAGGTGTGGTGGCACATACCTTTAATCCCAGTACTCTGGTGGCAGAGGCAGGTGGATTTCTGTGAGATAGAGGCCAGCCTGGTCTACAGAGTGAGTCCCAGGCAGCTGGGGCTACAGGAAGACCCTATCTCAGAAAACCAACAAGCCAACAAAACAAAACAAACAATCTCCCTCCCAAATAAGCCCCTCATTCAAAATCCAAGGTATAGTGTCAAATTTCTCCATGCAGACGTCTGTGTGTCCTGAATATCTGTACGTACCATACATACAGTCAGACTGTAGTACTTAGAAGTAGCCTTCTTCTTCATGATTTTTTTCTGTTTTGAAAGGGCCCAACTGTTCAGACTGGAAGCAGCCTATGTACCTGGGATTTGAAAAAGATGTCTTTAAAACGATAGCAGATTACTATGGCCATCTGAAGGAGCCGTTACTTACATTTCATCTTTTTGATGCTTTTGTCAGTGTGTTAGGTAAGTATATAATGAACATAGATCTACATTATTGATACTGAATTATTTCTTTTTTCCTTGTCCTGAGAGTTCCATTAGCAGAATTTCAGATCATTCAAAAAAATTTTTCATATCTCATTTTAAATGTATTTTTATTATCTTATCCTTTGTTCATTTGTTATTTTGTTAGTATATATTAATTATACATAGAAATAGATCTATTATTCTGACATTTTCATACAGGTATATAATGCATTTTGATCATATTCACCCCTCCCAATATTCTCTCTTGCCCCCTCCCACTCCTGCTGGTTCCTTTCTTCTTCCTAGCTGGTCCACTTCTTTCATGTCTTTGTGTGTGCATGTCCTAATGAGTTTCACTAGGGTTGCTTACCAGAGCATGGCTGAAAGGTTATTTATAGGAGCATGGTCACCTTACCAGTGATCTACACCCTTGAAGAAAATGTCTCCTCCTCCTCCAGCAACCTTTAACTGCCAATATCCTTTCAAGGAGGGATGGAGCCTCGTGACCCTCTCCCTCCAGCAATCTTTTTTTTTAAAAATTATGATGTCATTTATTGGCACAAAAGTTATTCAAATACAACATGGTGTCTAGACATGGCTCCCCAGTAGTCTTTAACTATGTAAATCTTTATCCACAATGGAATATTGATGAGCCCTCTCTTGTGCCTGTTTTCTGCAAGTCACCATACTGGCTGTGAGTTCATGAGTTGCAATAGCATGTCATGCCTGGAAGACAGCTTTATATAACATTCCTCCTCTTCCTCTGGCTCTTACATTCTTTCTGCCTCCTCTTCTGTGATGTTCCCTAAGCCTTGGAGGGGGTGATATAGATGTAGCATTTATGGCTGAACATTCAGTAGTCACTTATTGTCAACACTTTGACCAGTTATAAGCCTCTACAGTAACCACCACCCACTGAAAAAGAAGCCTCTCTGACCAAAACTGACAGCAGCACTAATCTATAGCTATAAACATAAATATTAGAAGGCAGTCAATGTAACATGTCCATTTAGCAAAACAATAGTAATTGTTTTAAAAGCGTCTCTATTAGTGCTTATGACCTCCCAAGCCATGTTTTGACCAGGTTTACAGTACCAGGCGTGAATTCCCTCCTGTGGAACTGGGCCTCAAACCCAATCAGAAAGTGGTTGATTACCCCTGTTACAATCATGCCACTGTTGTACCAGTGGGCACATCTTGCCTTTCAGTTCAGAAGTGTAGCATGCAGGGGCCACAGCTGGGTAAGACTGTTGATGACTTTTCTCCCCTAGCAGCCTGTATAGTACCTTCCCACATAGTGAAAGGTAGCAACCTGGTCATTTTCTAAATGAAAATGGATACTATATTAATTCTTGCTGCGTGAAAAGCATAATGGAAAATAGTTAAGCTGAATCATAAAATGCAAAGGACCAGCAGGTTCTATTTCTTAAGAAAGAATAGAGCATTGAATATCATTTTTATGTTAAGAGTATAACTTTATTGATAGAGAAGAATGTAGATTTGACATTTACTCTTCATGACTAAATCTATTACTCTGAATATGACTTCACGAGTAGGAGGTATATTGTCATTTAGAAATTAATTTCTTTTTATAGAAGAAACATTTTTCTAGGACTTTCTTATTTGAAACATGCAAAATAAATATAGTAACTTGTTCACGATGAACCTTGTTTCTATTCTTCAAGTAGAATTATACCTCAGAATGTACACTGTGAAGGACACATGGTAAAAGGGGATCCATATTGTTACTATTATTTCTTTTTTGGAAATCAGATTTTCCTTTTGGCTGTCATAATTGTTCAGTGAGTGTTGTTTTCTTGTCAAATTGCTTGTCGTGTGCATATCCTCCTTGGTTACAGCTCTCTCCTTCCGTCTTTACCTTTCTTACTTTCTTTGCATTTCTTTTCTTTCTCATTTCTGTCTTGCTTTTTGCAAAGTCTGGGTGCTGCCATAGCATCTTAAGAAAATGTCAGCCACATGTTAATAAGTTGCCTGAGCCCATAGCACTATACTTTAGATCAAACTTTTGTAAATTCTCTGATAATAACAAATAAAGTAACTATAAATCATGTATGTAGTGGTAACTACTTTAAAATTTCTTATTTTTTATTGTGTATGTGTATGTTTGTGCATGATGTATGTTAGTGCACATATGGAGGACAACCTTGTGGAGTTGTTTTTCTTTTTCCACATTTACATGGTTTCTGGGGATTGAACTCAGGTTGCCAGGTTTCCATAGTGAGTACTTTTACCCACTGAAGCACCTTGTGCAGACATTTTGACACTGGAGACAAATGAAGGACCTATTTAGTGTACTATGGAGTTTTGATACCCCTGGGTCTTTTTGGTATTTTATTTAGGCCCAGTTGGTCTCTTTTGTTATTTTTTTTTTTTCCCACTCAGCTCTTTATTGCTCAATCAGTATTCCAGTTCTCACTGACTTCTGTGATCCACTTCGAAGTTATCATGCTTGAGCAGTGGCTAGGGTCTTTTTAAAATTTAATACATATTTCATATTTTTTATTGAGTCTTTATAATTTCCTACAATAGTCCTTAATCAAATTTAGACCCCTTCCCCCATCCATACCCCCCTTATCTTCCCTCCAGATCTCATGAATTCCACCATACATGTTAAGTCCTATCCCAAAACAATTTGTACCCAAATGTCCTTCAGTATAAATTTGTCCATTGGAGTCTATCTAGAGATCAGCCCATCTAGAGATCATATGTAAGGTGTACTCTCCCTCATCCAGCAGCAATCAGTCTCCAATAGTTCTCAGTCTAGTGCTGCCCATCACCCATTTCTCTCCTCCCCTTTGGGCCCTTGTTTAATTGAGTTGCATGGGTCCTGTGCTCGATACCACCATTGTCACAAGTTTACATGTGAAAGCTTCCAGTGGTCTGAAAAATCTCAGCTTCTGTGTGTTCATGAACCAGCCCTGGCTCTTAAAATCTTTCTGCTCCTTCTACAATGGTCACTGAGCCACAGGTCAGTGAGGTTTCATATAGGACCTATCCTATGTTCTGCAGTCTCTTATTCTTTAAAACTTGGCCAGTTGTGGCCTTCTGTGTATATCACATTCTGTTGTATAGGAAGCTTTACTGGTGAGAGTTGAGGAATACATTAGTTTCCTCTCTACCCACATGTTCTGCTATGTTCCATGAGCCTTAGCTATAGAGGTTCAACTGTAGATGTGTCACCTAGTACTGGGCACCTCTCAGACGTATGTTCTCTGTGTGTGCTGGGATCACAGGCATGTGCCAGCACCCCAGGTCTATTATGGGCTTTTGAGACTATTGGGTCTTCTTGGTGTTTGTTTTCAGCCAACATTGACTGGAGGCTCATGGACTAAGTAGTGAGTTGATTCCCATTACAACACTTCAGTGCTTTCATACCGCTGTCGAGTAGAGTTCTAAAGACGGGATTAAAAATCACTTCTTACATTTTCTTTTCATTTTTTATTTTTTAAAAATATCTTATTTTTATTTTATGTATATGAATGTATTTCCTACATGTATGTGGGTATACTCAGGTTATGTAATGCCCATGGAGATCAGAAGAGGGTGTTGGATCCCCTGGAACTGGGGTTACAGGTGGTTGTTAGCTGCCATGTGGGTGCTAGGAACTGAACCCAGGTCCTCTGCAAGAGCACCCAGTGCTCTTAACTGCTGAGACATCTCTTCAGCCCCTCGTTTTCCATTTTTTATAATATTCTATAGTCAAGCTGTTTGATTTGGAAACAGAAGAACTGGAGTTTTTGAAAACAGAAATTCCTATTAGAATCCATCTTGTTTTTTATATAATTGGTCTGTCTTCATGATTGTTTATTTTGATCTCAGCAAGGATGTAAAACTGGCTGTATTCCAAATTGATATTGGAGTTAGTTACCCTCTAAAATATAAAGGATTTGAGCTAGAGAATGGTTAGGAGAATTAGGAAATTTATTACCTTTGGGTATCAGCCAAAAAGGACAGTTGCATGTTGCATATTAATCTGACCATGGTGCCAGTCCTTCCCAAGTGAATATGTTTGAGACACTCTTCATTGAAAACCATTTTCTATGTCTTCATGTAGGGAAAGAATATAATTTGTTTACATGATTAATAAAGAGTAATACAGAGTCTGTGGATAAAAGGAAATATCTAGATATGTAGGTTAAATTCTAGTAGAGTTTTCTCATCTCTTAAACTTGGGCTTTCATTAAAATAGCATGGTGCTTTGATTGAAATAGGATGTTTTCTTTTACTTTCAGTCTACTTTGTGTAGCAGCTAAAATTTGGTACAGTGTCTTCAATGGAAGTGATTTTGAGTTAATATCCTTCTTTTGAGGTTTATTTACTTTTCTGGTTTGAGTAGGATGGACCTTGCTACTGGTGCTGGCACCATGACAGCTGTTGGTTATCATTGATGCATGAAACTGGGTATCAAAGTCCACTTAAAAAGTTTCAAAGAGAAGATGTAGGTGTGGTGGCCCAAGCCTGTAATCCCAGCATAGGAGGTTGAATCTAAAAGATCATATTCCCAAGGTCAGTCTGGGTTACATAGCAAGGAATTGTCTCTGGAATCAAACAACATTAAAAACAAAACAAAACAAAACAAAAAAAGGAAAAACATGTTTGGAGATATAAGGCTTATATTTTACTAACAGTTAACTTACTTAATTTGGTTTAGCATTCTGACCAAACCAACTGTCCATAATTGATCCTTGATTCACAAGATGAGTGTGTTTGACTCTCCATTGTTGTGAACAAGGTAGAATGTCATCTTTTACTCATACTAAACCCCCACCCCAGGGTCCATTGAGCTGTGAAGTATTTGGTAATTTGCATATTGGGGTAAAGAAGGAGATGAGTGTGGGGAAGAGAGCTTTGGAAGCTGAGTGACCATACTCTTGGTCTGTGCTAAGCTTCCTTATGTAAGTATGCCATAAGTATATCTAGTTTGAACTGTGTGTTTAAGATTTCCAAGAAACAGGACATTCATGTACAAATTCATA